ACCACTCGTCTTGGTTAGTTGAGGAGCTCTCATGGATCTCGTGTGGGCCGTCTTGGGGCTGCTTCGGCCTTCTGTGGGGCAGTCTTGGGGTCCCTAGGGGCCCTCTTGGGCCGTCTTGGGGCCCTCTTATGTCGTCTTAGGATTGTCTTGGTTCGTCTTGGGGTCTTCATGAAGCCATCTTGGGCCGTATTGAGGCCAACGTGGGCCGTCTTCGAGCCATCTAGGGTCTTCTTAAAGGCGTCGTGCCCTCGCGAGCGCGCATCTGTTATATGTTACGAGGGTCTGTGGCCTCGGGAGCGCTTCGTTGTATTTGTATTGTACGATGGGCTTCGGCTTCGAGGGTGCGAACCGGTGGCATTTTGCTAAGGATTGTGGCCTCGAGAGAGGGCGATGCAGGCAGTGCAGGAGGGCTCGAAGATTACAGAAACCCTATCAGGAGGTGCAATGATGATGGCGGCGATGAGGACGAGGAGGACGAGGAGGAGGAACCAGGAGGCAGGAGGTGGATTAAGGAGGAGGGTCCAGGAGGAGGATCACGACGACGACGACGGACGACGACGGTTACGATTAAGGTTGTCGTGATGGTGAGTGTTGACGAGGCATTTTGCCGTACAGACTAGGAGAAGGAGCAGACGGATGAGGATGATGGGGATGTTCACCAGCAGCTGCAATTCTATGTCGCTGCAGTTGCAAACCGCAGCAGTCACAGACAGTTGTGCCCACCCGTGCGAGGCCATCTCCGACGCGAAGGTCGAGCTGAGCGAGACGCAGTCCGAGCACGGTGCCACCGTGGACGAGCTGACCAATATCGTTGCTCCGTCTGATCCCTCGAGGGGCAGGATTGGCAGGATGAGCAGGAGCTGCAGGAGGAGGAGGAGGAGGAGGAGGAGGGGGAGGAGGCGGAGGCGGAGGAGGAGAGGGAGGAGGAGGAGGAGGGGGGGGAGGAGGAGGAGGATGACAAACTAGGTGCGCTCGCGTCATATCTGATGTCCTACCCCTCCCTCCCATCCCTTACCATTGCGTAGATCTCCTCTCTATTCTCACAATCGGATGTCGCAACGTGGCACAGCATTACATGGCATAGCATGCTGTTGAAGATCAACGCGTAGCATGACATAGCATGACGGGGCGACGCCCCAAAGTGGGGGGGGCTTCTGCGGCCCAACACATCGATGAGTCGACACCGAATCTGTATTAATCACTTCCGATGATTTCTTCGGGAGGCCATTTCTAGATTTTGGGGCCTATTTGGAAGGACCGAAAACCATGCCGTGGCATGGTACTGGAAATGATGAAGCCAGCGCTGCGGTGGGAGCTCGATTCGGGACGAGCGGAAGCACGGAAATGAAGCCAGTGCTGCAGCGGGAGTGCAATTTGGAACGAACGGTCACCCGAAAATGAAGCCAGCGCTGCAGCGAGAGCAGCATTTAGACAACAACAATCAAGCGCGGAAGCGCGGAAATGAGGACGCGTAGCCTGACATAACATGGCGTGGCGACGCCCTAAAGTGGGGGGGACCTCTGCGGCCCAAAAAGCAACGAATCGACACCGAATGTGTAATCACGTCCGATGGTTTCTTCGGGGGGCCATTTTCTATATTTGGGGTCCAATTTGGAAGGAGCGAAAACCTTGCCGTGGCATGGCGCTGGAAATAATGCCGCCGGCGCTGCAGCGGGAGCACGATTCGGAACGAGCGGAAGCGCGGAAATGAGGCCAGCGCTGCATCGGGAGCACGATTCGGAATGAGCGGTAGCCCGAAAATGAGGTCAGCGTTTCAGCGAGAGCATCTTTTTGACAAAAATCCAAGCGAAAACCCAGCTCCCGAGAATCCTGCTTGTAAAAAACAGTACGCGGAGGGGGGCAGACATTTCCTGGACGCCACCAGGGGAGAGAGGAGAGTAGTACTCATACTGTGCAATTGTGGAGGAGGAGGCGGAGGAGGAGGAGGAGGAGGAGGAGGAGGAGGAGGAGGAGGAGCAGGAGGAACCCAGACATCTGGCGATTAGTTTTTTTCCCGAGACGTGGGCCCCCAGACCTCTCGACCGCTTTCACGGGCCTTCCTCCCGAGGCAGCGTTGCTGCGGCCCCGGGGCCCTAAGGCCGGCCTTCGAAGGCCCGGGCACAGTGGAACGCCGATCGCCTCGACTCGGTGATCGTTCTCTTGTTCATTGTTTTGCCGATCGGCGCGGGCCCTCGCACTCTTCCTCCTCTTCCTCCTCCTCCTACTCCTCCTCCTCCTCCTGCTCCTCCCCCTCTTCCTCTTCCACCTCCTCCTCCTCCTCCTTTCCAACATCCGCCCCCCCCCATGGAGCAGATAATGGCTGTATTTGGCGCCTGATTCGAGCAGGTGGAGTCTCCCCCACAGGACGCACCGCTTCGAGCAGTCGCATTAAGCAGAGGTCCGGAGCCAGGCGCCCCCCCTTCCCCCCCCCTCTTCCGCCCAATATCGAAACGCTGAATCAGACGAATAAGAAAACGCTCGCGAGCTGCTGGATGTCTAC